TTTTCCAGCAGGATTTGGCACCTGCCCACACTTCCAAAAGCACCAAAAGTTGGTTAAATGATCATGGTGTTGGTGTGCTTGACTGGCCAGCAAACTCACCAGACCTGAACCCCATAGAGAATCTATGGGGTATTGTCAAGAGAGGAAAATGAGAAACGAGACCAAAAAATGCAGATGAGCTGAAGGCCACTGTCAAAGAAACCTGGGCTTCCATACCACCTCAGCAGTGCCACAAACTGATCACCTCCATGCCACGCCGAATTAAGGCAGTAATTAAAGCAAAAGGAGCCCCTACCAAGTATTGAGTACATGTACAGTAAATGAACATACTTTCCAGAAGGCCAACAATTCACTAAAAATGTTTTTTTTTTGGTCTTATGAAGTATTCTAATTTGTTGAGATAGTGAATTGGTGGGTTTTTGTTAAATGTGAGCCAAAATCATCACAATTAAAAGAACAAAAGACTTAAACTAATTCAGTCTGTGTGCATTGAATTTATTTAATACACGAGTTTCACAATTTGAGTTGAATTACTGAAATAAATGAACTTTTCCACGACATTCTAATTTATTGAGATGCACCTGTAGACTTTAATAAAGCGTAATCTGATGGGTAGCATTTTTTTTGTTGTCGAATTGTGCAAATCGTCAGAACACCGGCGCTATTTTAGGGACTGTTTGAAGAGAAATGCGAGATTGAGGGTAATGTACTGGAACCATAGACTGTTAAAAAAAAAAAAAAAAAAAAAAAAAAAATGGACAACGTGTCTCTATTGCCTTCAGCTGTAGAAAGTTGAAGCCAAAATGTCCCTGCTATATTGCGCTAATGATGTAATTTGGAATTCGAGTCTGCAGTAGTAATCATGAGCTGGAACCGTCGTATCAAAGTCCTGCAAACCCAATCACAAGCTCACAATAATGTTGTCACATCCTGTTTTTATAGCATCCAATAACTGAAAGCAAACCTATTAGAAAAACAAACACTTGAACATACATCAACTTGATAAAAACTACCTAAATGATGGAAACTATCGTTGGGAAAAATGTATAGGAAGTGTAATTTAGTTTGGCTTGCATCCCATTCATTTTCTTGGAGAGGACGGGGTTTATGACCTATACTGCAATCGGTTTATTCAAGTCATGTAGGAAAGATCTTATTTAAGTCAATGGCACATGAATGTCACCACAAAGTCGTAATTAAGAGTGGGAAACCCAGAATTTTCTTTAAACTCCGACTCCCAAGTTTCCGAGTTAGGGGCGTGTCAGTGAGTGTCAGGTTTCATTGGTTGCTGGACAAAATGTTTCAGACGCCATCGTTTAATTGGTTGCTTGGCAAAATGTTTCCCGAAACTCCCACGGTTTCATTGGTTTACAACCACGTGCTCGTAATAAACGTCTCCTGACTGATAGAAGCCAAATGGAGACTGAGCGTCATCAGACTCCGAGCACGTGAGAACTCTGAGTAAGCTGCTCCATTTTCAATGCAGCTCTTTCCATGCGAGTACGTATTACTAGCAACTGCTATATTGGAATTACTCCGTGATAGATGCTTTACACTTGAACCCCTGCCCATGAAGAACTTTATGCAGATCTCTTGTCTGGTGCCTCCATATCAATTTCTTTATATATTAAGCCGCACTGAGTACTGTCTTTCTAGTGGTTTTCTACGCGGAAAAGTGTAACGTGCAATTTATCGCGTTTCGTTCGTATTCTGGGAGCATCAGCTTGTGTGTGTGTGTGTGTGTGTGTGTGTGTATATATAGTATGCATCATCAATAAGGTGCATATAGAATTCGGTTATGTATTAAGACTGTGATACATGAAGTCACGTTAGAATGTCCCGAAGAACGCAAACAGCCCAGCGAACCGCAAGCACCACCCTCTTAGGCTTATGACTGATCAAATGCATGAAACCACAAATAAGACTTAATTTGTGCTAATAAGTGCAACAAGCTGGCAGAATGGGTAAAGTTTAAATGAAGGAATAAGATCCAAATTCGCTATTTATCTGCTTATGCAGTAAAATACTGAAACTTAAGACCGAAGTGACCTTTTATTGATAAACAGTGGCAGATCCTATACTCGAGAGCCACCTAGTGGCAGAGAAAGACATCACTTTGAATTAACATGCTCTCTAGCTGTGGAGAAACCCATAGCTTATACTTGAGACCCTCTAGAGGTGAACTGAGACATTACAGCTAAAACTATAACAGCCAAATACAAACTATCAAGTTTTGCACTGCTTCTAGGAACCTCAAATCATATTTATGTAGATTTGTGGATCATCTTTTGTCTGCCTCTGTATGCAAGGGTCTTGAGAGAGTGAGGGAAGCAGATGTAATGTGGATGAGGATTGTGTGGAGCTGGGGAACATGAACGGTGACAAAAGGCTAACATGTTAGCTCACTCTCCTTTTGACAAAACGGTCTTTGTTTCATTGTAGTAATGTGTAGATTTCATAACATTAAAATAAAAGTAGGTTCACATTAAGGATTCAGTGAAAGACCTTGCTAATGTACATTTCAGACACACTGTTGTGCGCACTATTTTTATTTTATTTTATTTGAGTTAAGTGAATTGTGCTATAACTCAGGGCTATAAAACATTGTTTTTGCAGATGAGGAGATCCCTCTTGTGGCAGATGGAGGCACTGTAGACTCTAAATTTACAAAAGAAGTTAAATATAAAACAAAGGCCCTTGGATGCTTCGGCTTCTGGTGTAATGGTCTCACAGGCAAGTAGATATAACTGCAGACCGGAGATCTCCAAAACGGGGCGTGAACTCCAAAAGTGGGCAGAACCTCCAAAATGGGGTGGGGTCTCCTCACGCTAAGACTTTCACCATTGGCTCTGGCTCCAGCCAATTGTTATTGACTTACATTTCAAAATAAAACTTTATAAATGCTTTGTCCTAAGCAACGGGGGCGTCCCGGGGGTCGAAATTCGCAGGGTAGGAGGGGGTAGTGACGCTGGGTGTAACTAAAAAGGTGCCATTGTCCGGTGAGGTCCGGTTGGGGAGTTACGGAACGATCTCATATCGCATAATCTTATTAACTGTTTATCTCCCGAACTGAACTTTCTTTACCACGTTATTCAGCAGCAATCCCGCCGTGCAGTTAATTTAACTGGTTAAGGTTAGGGTCAGGTGTGGGGTAGGTTTAGGGGTTAGCATTTTTTGTAGCATAATGTAGGAAATCAACACTTTAATTGACAACCAATAAAATCTTTAGCATCAGCTGTGGGGCGGAGTTTGCACAAGTGGATTGGGGGAAAAAATAGCGCATACGTGTCATGTGCCTGTCTGTCAATGGGAGGAAGCCATGCCCTATTTTGGAGCTCCCACCCCGTTTTGGAGATCCCGCCCCCATTTGGAGATCTCCAGGCTGCAGTTATACCCTTCTCCTAAATTTACAAAATAAGTTAAATATAAAACAAAAGCCCTTGGATGCTTCGGCTTCTGGTGTAATGGTCTCACAGGAGTCACGAGAGCAGTCCTGACGTTGGGGGTTGGGAGCTGCAGTGCTGGGGAGGAGAACGGATCACATGACCTGAATGCGTCAGCACTGAGAGCCAATCCTACTGGCTAGAGGGCCGCCTGATCTGCATGCTTGTCTGTTTCTTGGCAGAAAAACATAAATTACACCAAATATATAGTTTAAAGCAGTGGCCGCCAACCCGTCGATCGCGATCGACTGGTAGATCTTTATCTTTATACTGTCCCAGTAGATCCCGAAAAAAACAGTAAAATAAGTACAAAAATGCATTACATTTATGGGGTTATATTAATACATCACTGAAGGGTACTGTCTTGAGAAAAGTTTCGATGGCAAGGGCATACCTTCTTCAGAGGTAACCAAGGAAACGCTATAGTGCGGTCGGTTCATAAGCGGTGTTGCCAAGTCTGTGGTTTTCCCGCGGAATTCGGCTACTTAACACTGTTGCCGCGGGTTGTTGTTCATGTCCGCGGGTTGAAGCGACCCCAATAACGTGATATTTAGTCCCTGGAATGTGAATTTTACATGAAGATCCCCGCTGAAAAACGTGTATTTTACCCCGGAATGCGATTTTTACAGGCAAACCCTCCTCGAAACGCGATTGGACTAGTTTTATTGCGAAAACCTGGCAACCCTGATCATAGGCGCCGCCTGCTGTCAGAGAGTGCGTCTCATTCAGACCTGCTGTTGTTGTTTGGTGCAGATGTTTTATGTAGCAAATAAATAAATAACACAAAGTCAGACCATTCTGTTTTTGTTTTAAATCCTGAAATTAATCTAAATCAAATCAAAAACAACTGCCCGTGCAGATCATGATTAAAATGCAGTGGTTGCCTCTAATTTCAAATGGCTAGATATTTTTGCTTAAAGACAAGATTTGTTTGTTATAAAGCAAATAGCCAATAAATAAGTTTGCTTAAAAATCAGTATCAGAATCCAATTTGCTAGTTAAAAAAAAAACAGAAGAAAACTGAATTCTGAATCCGCTATGATCGGCGCATCACTAATTAAAATACTAAGTAAAAGGCCTCAAATTTGAAGCACATTGTGGGATGTCTTTTTCTATCAATTCTTCAATAGGTAGATCTTGTCTTTCATAAAGGCCGAGGTCAGGGATCTTGGGCCTAAAAAGGTTGGTGACCACTGGTTTAAAGGATCAGAAATGAGTGTGAATACTGACATCTGTATGTTGCAGCACATCAGATGTGCTTGTATTGTCCTGGTAAATGACAAAATCATGGTTTAACCACTCACCACCTTCGAGAAGACTTTCCCGGAGACACTGCTATATATACCAGACGTCTAGACCACTTGTTCGTGCTTGCTTCGGCAGCACATATACTAAAATTGGAACGATACAGAGAAGATTAGCATGGCCCCTGCGCAAAGGAACCTGACGGATCTTCTCTGTAGCCCCCCTGTGGCCCCTGGCACACCTGGGGTCATTCCATGACCTTGAACTTCATGGTGGTGACCTCAAAACTCCAATGGGGCCACCTGTGGGGTTGTAAGGTGCTCATGCTGCTAAAAATAAAGAAATAATTTGAAATTACTGGGGCATGACATATGCATATTAAGTAGCCATGTGCTGCTTAAGAAGTGAGCTGCAGGCTGCTGTCAGAATATAATGTGATTTAAATCAGAAAATGTTATTATATTTTACTTGAATGGTCTGAATAAATAGCCTCATATTAAAATATAATTGGTGTATTTGTATTTAAAATTGTATAATTTTTTTATTTACAATATAATTTTTACAATGATTTTTTTATTTAATTGAATTCTGTCAATTACCTCAAATGACTTAAGAGCATTTAAATAGAGAAATATAACAGTCTTTCTTTTACTGTTTTTTAGGTAGTACAGAATACAGAGCCGGCGGTTCATGTGAGAGGCCAGGAGCCCCTTACTGCCTCAATGCTGGCAGCTGCACCCTTAAAAGAGCAGAAACAACTCCTGGGTATGGAATGCACACACACGGTCACTTAAAAGTTAAAGTTGTGAGCAGTTTCAATCATGTTATACCACCTGCTTCTTAAACCAGTGATGGTAACCTAAATTAACAATACTCTTCAGTAGAGGGTGTAGTGCCGACACTTTACAGTGTCTATTTAGTGTAAAGCAGCATATAGTTATCATATGGCTTCAGAAGGCTTGGAATATAGCACACAATCTATGTACTACTTCGTAACACGAGTAAAATGACCAAACTGTTTGCATCCTATACAGGTGAGCGGCTGTATCCACTTATCCAGGCCTTGCATCCGACTCTTGCGGGAAAGATTACAGGCATGCTGCTGGAGATTGACAACTCTGAACTACTGCACATGCTCGAGTCTCCAGAGTCCCTGCACTCCAAGGTTCACCTGCTCAAAACATGTACTCGACATTTAGTCTCAAAGATCAGATTTTGTTTGATCATTGCACTTTTCTGCACTGTTTAGGTTGAAGAGGCTGTAGCGGTGCTTCAGGCTCATCAAGCCAAGGAACTGTCGGCAAAGTGAGAGGGAGCTTGTAAGGCAGGTAATCTACTTGCATTCTTCTGTCTTAATATTTGGCCTTAAACGTGTACAATGCCAATTAATAACACATGCAATTGTCACACACAAATGCTGACCAACTTTGTTTGATTTTTGCAGGCATGCTCACTGAAGGTCTGTGAGAGTTGTTCCAGAGAACGGGGGGAAAAGAAAACAGCACTTCAGAGTAATGCTATTTAATGCATGGTTCGCACACTGCAAATGTCCTTTTGCTCTCCACAGTGTTAAGTTTGTTCTGATTTTGTTTATTAAAAAAAAAATTAAAAGTAAAATGACAAAAAAAAAAGGCTAAAAAATATTTTTTGAAATTTCTGTGTGCAATAAAAATTATCCTGGCTTAATGGACATGCAAAAAGAGTTTTTGATAGTCTTATTCTTATTACAGTGATTGAGTTTGTGGCAGGGACACATTTGCAAGGACTTTACAGAGCTTTTATTAAAATAAGCTTTAAGTTAATAAACGTGTGTAATAGATTTTTCAGTTTTGTAGAGCTAAACATAAGCACAACCTGAGATGTACAATCCAGCGTAGAAAGCTTTTAATTGTATAATGTATGGTTAATGTTTGTTAATGTTTGTGCTGAATGCTGAATATCAAGGTTTTATCATGGTTTTGCATGAATACAATTTAACCATTTCAGTTGTTAAATTTCACTGAAAATATCTGCTGAATTAAATTGAGTGCTGTGGTCTGCTATTAACTTGAGATACTCCTAAGGCTATTAGAGCAGATATGTAAACATAAACACACTTTTATTGATATTTTTATTAATATTATTGATATTATTATTGATTAATATATGTAATATTATTGTTTATATTTAACATTTATAGAATTGTTATTTACAATTTTACAAATTTTAGTTTTTATTTAATTGAATTCTTCAATTACCTAATGTATTGTTTATATATGTATCAATGGCATTCAGGACACTTATATTTTAAATAAAAAAAATTACTAAAATAATTAAAAAATATAATAAAATTGCATATATTTCAAATATCTATAACATATTTAAATAGCATTGTTATATTTAAATAGTATAATTACATGAAATTTATGAGGCAGTTTATTGTTTTTGTAAACATGCTTTCATACTAATCCTAATTGTTTTATCAATCTTAAAAAAAAAAATAACCATATGTACATTTTTAAAGCAGTATAAGTGCTTTAATATTATTCTTGAATGTGAGTGCTTCAATGTTCTTTTAAATAAATTAACTTTTAAAGTAAGATGTATATATTCAATAGTATTTTTAAGTCATCTGACAATTTACTATAGGTATACTGTAAGGATTCCAAAATGCACAATAAATATGAATATCTAATAAAACAGACATATGAGAAAAGGGCAATCTTTATTAACATTAAATATATAAAGAAACGACACTATATAAACACTCAAACTATATAAAACTCTTCAACTATGTCGTCAAGTCATAAAATCTCCGACAATTAGCGCTTTATCAACAGTAACCAATAGGTCTGAGAGGAGATCTGCAAATTCTTTTAGGAAATCTGTATACAGCCCTGGCGGTCTATACACAGTAGCCAGAGCAAGAGATACGATAGATTTCTTTTGCATATCTGACTATGTAACAGTATATACATATTATGCAATATATAACTTATTTTTGTCCCCTTCTCATCTCCTCTATCCACTGCTCCACAGTTTTTCCAGATGCCTTGGCACAAAAGTGGGCAACTCGGAACCGACTGTGGCCAAACTCCTTTGTCTTCGGTTGGCCACACTTTTGGCAAATGTATTGTTCAGTCTGTTGTCTCTTTTTGGGTGTTGCACCTTGTGCTGCAGCTGCCTCCGCTGCCTTCCTCCGCCGCCAAGCTGTGGTCCTTGGCACCTTTGGACCGGGAGGTGTAGCAGCAGGTACAGCAATAGCTGCAGTGTCTGTAGCTTGAAGCAAGCGGGCAGGGTCAGGGACCGCAAAGCCCACCTGGACTGGAGGAGGCTGTCCTTGGGCATGCTGTGCTGCAGCAGGCATGGCAACAGCTGCTGACGCTGAGCCCACTGGAGGAGGTTGGCCTCGAACACGCTGTACTGCCTGTCCTGATGCATCCGCCGGAATGATGAACTCATAGGCATGGTGCCCATGCCGGACCGGTTCCGGATGCTTATACAGCACAGGTGGGAGGGGTTCAGAGGCCACCAAGGGAGTGGTAAAGGTCTGAATGCTCTGCTCCAAGACCTCCCTTTCCTGCCTCCTTTTCCGTGCATTGTGCCTATGTAAAGACAATATGACAATTAGTACACGTGCAGAGAAGGGTGGTATATGACAACAATTGTGCATGAACAATTAATTACTGAACCTACCATTGTGAAAGAGTGTGCTGATTTAACTCAAACAGCTGCAACCTTGTTTCAGCCATGAGTCTGGGGCTGTCCAGGACTACATCTGTTATCATCCTGTAGTCACGCAGAATGACAGCCCACCTGTTTACCTTGACACCAGCCACTGTCTGACCAGCGGGGTAAATTCTGCATAGAGCCAGGCAGACTGCCTCCACAAGACGGCTGGCATTGGGCCACTGAGCAGGTCCACTGCCTTCACCAAGGAAGCAGCTGTGAAAAAAAAAACAAATTAATGTTAAGTAGATTATTTGATGAATATATGAAAAACAAATTAAATACAAATTATACAAACTGATTGGCAAACATGGACACATACCGCTTCAAACTGTCAGCTCCAGGGGTCACATTCGTCACAGAATGACTGACTTTGAAGCGCCCCTTCACCAGCCTATCGCGGTGGCGAGCTGGGTAGATGAGAGCGCCCTTGTCAAACTCTGACAGTTTATCCCAGAGAGTCACAATCTCCTCCACCTTCTGCTGTGTAATGAACCCCTCATGCCTGAGGTCCACCAGACTGTTGGCTAACCTGACGACGTGGTCATAGCCAGGTCTGCCATCTGGTCCCAGGCTCTCCATCTGTGCATTAAAGTAAATTATTACACTCTCTTAAGTGTTATCATGCTTATTCTGTCATATCACTTTGAAACATCTAAAAGTAAGGTAATGAAGTAACTTCTACTTCAAAATAAAAGATCATTATCACAGTGTTAATGCCTATAGGGTAATTTAGTCACCTGGCTCTGAGTGGCTGGCTCATCTTCCATGGGCTCAGGCAAGGAAGACTCTGCTACATGGCTCTGCACCCCCTGAAATTAAGAATATAAGGTCATTTCCACTTACATAAAAATAAAGGATCATTATCACAATGTTAATATCTATATGGGAGTACAGTTACCTGGCTCTGAGTGGGCGGCTCATCTCTCATGGGCTCTGGCAAGGAAGACTCTGCTGTATCTGATGACGGACCAGGAGGTTGTATGGCCTCTGCCTGCTGCTGAATGGGTTCTGGGGGATCGAAGCTGAGCTCCATGATTTCAAGGGGCTCACCATCCAACTCCACATCCTCAAACCCCTCATCACTCTCCAGATCACTCTTCAGGTCTTCATCCTGAATCCCATCTGGAGTATCAGGATACGCACCGAAGTCTTCCTCAAAAGCTTTACTTGTTTGGGAATACAAGTATTCCACACCAATGAGTTCACCTGTAGACATTCAAAGTGTGATGAGCACATGGGTGAAATACAGGTGTCACAGCTACTACACAAAAGTGTCATGTGTGCACAAACATGTTACCTGTGTATTCGCCAGGGCTGGTGTAGTCCTCCGCCAAATTAAGGCCCATAAATAGCTGGCTCAGGATGTTTGCGTACTGCTGCAGTTGGCCACCATAGCAGATATAATTTCTGCTGCCACCTTCAACGGCAGCAACCGCACGAGCCTCATTCCATTGTACAAGCCCTTCCAGCAGGTACATCTGAAAATGAAGGTCACTTGCACTTGTTCCTAAAAAAGCAGGCAGAAAGAAGTTAGCACCATGGAAAACACATGAACAAACAACTCGCATTGTTTAGGAAAAATGCATACCTGGCACAAAGAGGTTTAGGTGCAGGTGGAAGGACTCCAAGGATGTTGAGCCACGTGCACAGCGATACTGGGGCAGAATGACCCCCCCTTTGGTCACCTGCCCTATCTTCCTGTACAGCTGCACACCTGGTGGCTCCTGGATGCAGTCGATGTGGCGCTGCTGTGTCCGCTAGATCTCTTCCATCCTGTCCGTGTCAAAGAGCCTGACTCCCATTGTGTCCGTTGCCTCCATGAAGTCCTTTAGGAGCTGTCCGATCAGCTCCTTAGTCTCCTGGGCCCCACGAGTGCGGCGACGACAGTGCCTTGCCAACTCTTTAGTGGTGGGCTTGCAGCCGCAGGCCTCCTTCAACCTCTCAACATCACCAGCATCCCACTCGAAGATGCAGGCTGAGAGGCGTCCCATGAAGGGGGCGTACAGCGGGTGGCAGTCCGTGGTGACCCCGACTGCGATGCGCCGCATGAAATGCCACACATCCAGCCTGACCACCAGCTGGTCCCACTCACTAAACATTGCCGCCGCCTTGCTTTTACCTCCTACACTGCAGCAGTCCCGGTCCACATAAAGGACTTGCGGAGGAGCTTCTCCAGCTCGGCGGTAGCGATCCACAAGTCCGGAACACATGGGAAGCAGGCCCTTTCCCTCTCCTTCTGTGAGGACACACATGAGGACTTGTCCAATTTCGTTCCCCACATCTGTCACCCACGCAGTGGTGCCAGCAGCATCACCAGCTAGCTTCTTGGTGACCTAAAGTACATGATAAGAAGTATTATCATTATCAAAGGAACAGGACATTTTTATTTTACAATGAAAAAATGACACTAAATGTAACACTAAATCAGGTGTTACCTTTTTGGTGGAATCCATCTTTGAGATGGAGCCATAGACAGAGGTGACACGGGCCTTTAGTTCAGGTAGCCGTGTTAGTACGTCTCTAGTGTACACTGACAGCAGCCAAGATGGACTAGGGACAGGCACCATCTGTGGCAGCGGGGCAATGAGACTGCTGGGATCAGTGTTCTGGGTTACAAAATTCCTCAGCACAGACAGGTGCATTGTTGACTGGCCCAGGAAATGTTCTTTATGCCTGAGGCACAGGTGCCTGTACAGAGCTGTGGCACTGTTCCCCAGCGTGCGCCCCCGCATCAATCTGACAACCTCCCTATCGCAGGACAACCTATAGATAATAAAGAAGTCCATAGCACAATATTTACTTCTATGTCACAATATATGCATATATTGCTGTATATTGCAAAATGAGAGCAATAGTTTCCAATATATGGAAATGTATTATGTAATATATCACATTATATTTTGCCGTATATTCCCATATATTTTTGTTCAGTAAGAGGTATTATGTTAAGAGACTTAAAAACACCTTATACCTGTAGGTAAGGACTGCAGGAAATTGTTCACGGTGGCTGGGATCCAACTGGTCCAGGATGTCTCGTGACCAGGCTGCCAGCTTCTTTTTACAGGTCCGGCATTCAAGGTACTCAGTCGCCATGAAGTACCACCCGTTTAGGTCCAAGACCCTCCGGACAGTCTTGTACATGCCGGAAGCTGTTAGCTGGATCCCAAGGCGACGGCAGTTGGGCTGGAAGCACAGCAGCTTGTATGCCCACATGCGGTAGGGAACCCAGAGGAACAGCCTGCTGTGAAAGAAGGCGTCAGGTTTAGAAGGAGGCTGAGAGTACAAAGGACGGGGTCCAGGGGGAGACCACCACAGATGCAGATTTTTGTTCAGTGCCAACTTCCCAGACTTGTCTCTCGTAAAGAGAGCCTTGCTGACCCACAAGTGCTGCTCTTTTGGAAGCGTCTGCTTCCAACCTTCAGGCAGCAGCAGCTGTGGGAGTAAGAGAGAAAAATTGTGTTTACTTCTTACTTTCATGAAGGCTCCTTTTAAGATACCATTTGAAGATTTGTCTTACTTCTTCAGTGGGCGCTGGCTGCTTTTTTGGCACAGCTCTCTCTGAAGAGGGCAGGGCTTCTGGCTGACTGACTGACTGGCTTGCATCAGCTGCAAAGCATAAAAGAAAAAGTGAATGAGACCCATAGAAAAGGCAACGTTACATTTATTGTTGCATATAATATTACTAATCACTACTACATGAGATTAATACAGTTACTATTTACTACCGCTAGATGTTAGAACTAATGTTAAACATTAGTAGTATGTTAGAGTTAATGATTGGAAATGCACCAAATATACAGATGAAGATGTGCAAAAAAGATAAGGTGACTATGACAAACAATTGTGTGTGGCAGCATTGGGTGAAAAAGTTAGATGCTCAAAGATGAGAAGAAAAATTGCGGCGGTGGAAAAAAGTGTAAAGGGAATTGCCATGGAATTTAAAAAGCAAAAAAAAAATATGAATAAAAAAAAATAATAATAAAAAGGCAAGAGAGGTACAAAAAAGCCAGGGTATGGGCTGGCATGATCAGAAGGTGTAATACACCTCCTACCTTACTGTTTCCAAAACCATCATCTGAAAGCTGATAATACAGAATCACAAAACATGTTATACAATGCACAACAGTATTCTGAAAACAAAACCACAAATGTAAACCCATTCATGACGATGTCATTCTCACCCGCAACGTCTATGTGTGCAGCTGCAGCAAGCAAATCAGCATCTGATGGCTCCTCTGTAGACGCCGAGCTAGAAGCGACCGCTGTTAATATTAGAATAAGTATTAATAATTACAAGATGTAAAAGCAACAAAATATCCAATAACAAGCAAACAAGAAGTAAGTCGTGTGCCTGGAGGTGCTGTTTTGGGAAGGTTTGGTCGCAACTTCTCAGCGTCTCTTCTCTTAATGTACTTCTGCAGAGCCTCCATCTTTGTGCCAGGATGGATGTCCTTCTTCTGCCTCACCCACCTGATGAAGCTGAATCGAGAACAAAAAATTACTAACTCAAGCCCATACACTACACATTCCTACAGCCAGCAGCTTCTATTAGATTAACATCTTACCCCTTTCTGTCCTTATCCTTGGCGTCATAGAGATCCTTAAACGTCAGGGTGACAAAATTTCCAAACCCGACAAGGAGCTTGTCCTCCTGGCCCGTTGTCCCGGACCCCTCTCGAAACTGCCACTCTTGTATGGCTGCCATAACATCTGGAAACAGGCCCGCATACTGCAGCAACGCATCTTTGTTGCCCATTACTGCAGCTGTGGACGTGTCTCCACGCTCCCGCTCCTGCCGATGAGAGGCCAGCACCATGGCTGAATATCCAACATCATTAGATAGCAACCATTTAAAGGTTTTCCCACGGTACTGGCCAAACTGCAGGGCGCTCTCGCTTAGCACTAGCTGCCAATTTCCGGTGTCCCCTCCAGCAGCAGCCACACGAGCCATGGCCTCCTCCTTGACCCTAACAGCAGGCCATGACCGTCCAGGAGTGGGGTTTTTCCTGTAGGCAGCAGCCAGGGCTGCTGCCTCAGCTGATGGCTTGAGCGTAAGCTCACCAGAGCCCTCTCTACGGAAGTTGGCTTTGAAATCCATGTTCTATAAGGCACAGAGAGAAACATAAGGCACAGCACTGTTAAAACACACAAATACAGTATAGTGTGATCTAGCTATTCAATACATCAAGCACTGCATTGATAAGATGAAGAAATAAAAAGTGTGTAATCTACAGTAAAACCAACTCTTTCCAACTCCATAAAGTTCAGAAGAACAAAGGGTCGAACAGACACCTGAGCGGGTGTGAACCCCATGACCTTTCATGTTTGTCCCCCACACCCACACAGGTGCACATGGCACTGCAGGGGGTCACTTTAACACCTGCTGTTACCTGCACTCTTGCAACAAGTGACAAAGAACACTGACATACAGTAAACTTTACCTTGAACTTCATTATAAAGTAAACTTCATCATTAATTTCATACAGTAAGTGTGCCAGTTCTAGGCACAAAGAGAAAAACTTAATGTAAGTATTCATGGTATTTGTAGTAAACCAGTTACGTGCCATTGTTTTAATACAGTAACAATACTTTAACCATAAAATGGGAAGTAAAACCACGATGGTAGTCATAATAACAACAACCCGTCTGGCAAAAACACGATAACTAAACGTTTACTACATTAACACCGCGTTTACTTGTCAATAAGGATGCATCGAAATACTGTAACTAATTCAGAATTCCTAAACGAAAAAAGTGACGCTTCAACTATTACAGAAGAAACGGACTTCTGCAATCGACAGCAATTTGCATCTTAAATTACGCCTACGTAGCTGATTTACACGACATAAATCGCTTACAGTACTTACAGTTACCAATGTACACCGAAGTAAATACTAGATCACCCTTACCTGATGCGTTGAAATGGCGAAGATGAATGTCGAAATAATTTTGTCGATGCTGACACACCGAAGCACTGTACAGTACTGACGTGCCTCACACCCCGTTCTAAAAACGCGCTGTCTGTGGACCCGTCCACATGGCCAATCGGCATGAAAGCAAATTGAAACATCAAAATGGACAAATAGCAAGCTTCGCATCCGGACCAATTGTGGTGCATGTAAATTAGAACATCCCGATGGACCAATCACAGTCAAAGTGTCACGCCAATCAGCGTGCGCGCAAATTAGAACAGTTGAAACAGAATTGGAACCGAAGATCGGCTCGGCAGTAGCGCAAGGATGACAAGCAAATTCGTGAAGCGTTCCTCATTTTTGAACTATTTTTAACTGTTAAACGTAATTAAGATTAAGCTGGATTTAAAAAAAGTATTTTTGACATACATAGAAAGTGCCTAAAACATGCACGTATATCAAACTTTGTGAATTGACAGTGTGGAGGCATTTTATTCACCATTTATTTATGATGTAGCAGCATTCCAGTACAACACAGTCCAGGGGCCCCAGTTTAGCCCCCTCTCGCAGTGTGAACTTTGCTGACTGTCTCTGTAAATACAAGAACACTGTAAAAATTATGTGTCAACAGAAAAGCAACAAAAAAAACCCCCTTCAAACTAAGGACAACTTCATAAAGTAAATTTTTTTGGCCTTTGCAATGTGACCATTTGAGCATTAAATAGAAAAATACAGCAATCTTTCTTTTACTGTTTTTTAGATAGTAACAAATACAGAGCCGGTGGTTCATGTGAGAGGCCAGGAGCCCCTTACTGCCACAATGCTGGCAGCTGCACCCTTAAAAGAGCAGAAACAACTCCTGGGTACAGGATGTGCACACAATCGGTTAAAGGTCAAAGATGTGTGCATAATCTTTTATAGTAGGCTACCTGAAAGTTAAATCAGTGATGGTAACTTGAATTAACAATACTGCTCAGTAGAGGGCGCTACTAGAAAAATACAGTTAACTATGAATAAACTACTTTCCACTGTAGTAATGTAATATTTATTTATCCAGTGAAAACTAATACACACATCCCATTTAGATCAATGCTGCTGAAAAAAATACAGTGCTGACACTTGACAGTGTCTTACTATTTAGTATAAGTGGCAGCAGACTGCCCCTCTCAAAGGTTCACCTGCTCGAAACAATCACTCATGACCAGAAAAGATGCTGTCTCAAAGATCAGTTTTTGTTCAATCATCGATCGATCATTCAATCATGGTCTGTGAAGGTTGTTCCAAAGAACTGGGGAAAAGAAAATGGTTGAAAACAGCACTTCAGAGTCATGCCATTTAATGCATGATTTGCAAATATGGCCTATTTCTCTCCACACAGTGTTAAGTTTGTTCTGATTTTGTTTATTTAAAATGAAAAATAGAAAGAAAGGAAGATGACAAAAAGGCTAAAAATATGTTTTGAAATTTTGTGTGCAATAAAAAATATCCTGGTTTAATGGATATGCAAAAGAAGTTTTAGAGTGTCTTATTCTTTAGTCCAGGTGATATGTGCAAAATTTGAGGTGATATGTTCACTTTTTCATAAAAGCATGAATATTGGTACAATTGTACAGGTTTGGGCCCTGGGGCCAGTTGCACCAGCTGTACGTAAGTTACAACTTAGCCTAGTTTTGACGTAAATGGGTAAATTTCACCATTACACGTAGTTGAAGTGTAACTCTACGTATAAACTAAATATTTTCTGAAGGCGTCTGGTCAGGAGTAACGGTTGGAATAAAATAGCAGACTGAGTGAACTGCATCAATATGCTCTTCTTTTACCCGACAATCTTCAATTCTTTAGGCATATATGATGCTGCTGACATTTACACTCACGTACAAATTAAGAGAGAGAACAATATGTGAATAAACGTACTTTGTTTCTTTTTTAGCACGTCTTCAACACCCCATCTACAGCGCACCTCTGTGCGCTTGCGCATGTCAGATGAAATAATAAATAAATGGCATTTATGTTTTTTTTTCTTTCAGTATTTATTGATCCTTATTTATTTCAATTACAGTTTCTGAATGTTATTTGCATATAAAAATAGCTTACATATAGACTAATGTTATTAATGTATTGTTTTTAATGGAAACTTATTTATATTTTTACCGTTAGTACGTGAGGCAAAAGAAGTTAGAATGAAGGATAAATTAAAATTCATAGCATTTAAACAAGTTCTGCTCGCGTATTTGAAGGTTTCAATTGTATGATTTAGGGTAAACGTCATATTATGCGACTACGCATTACTTTACGGAGAGTTTACGAACTACTTGCTACGTCCTGCCTTACGAACAACTGGTGCAACCAAATAGTGTATAGATTTAGTTACAAACTAGCTAGTAGTTACTAAGCCTCTAGTGTGGACTTAACGTTCTAATTTAAATAAGAAATTACGAATGGCTGGTGCAACCCTACCCTGAACATTTTCAGAAATGGAGCCATCAAAAACACCTCGTGGTTGCCATGGCGACCATTTTACTTTCCGCCATAACCAAATTATGTATTTTGTGTTATATCTCCTGAACCAAATGTGATAACACAGAAAAGGTGATGTCTACCCCTATGTTTTGATGGTCAAGGATTACAATGATACCATATACAGCAACATAAACTGTTCAGGTGAAGAGGTAATGGTGAAATTGGCAATGTGAGAAGGAAATAACAGTATCTGAGCATCACAGTATCACAGCATTTACAATAGTCCATATTATGGCTATTAATTTTTTCTTTCTTTGATAATGAACTAATATTTTATTCAATAGTACAATAAAAGATTGTTTTAATGAATGAATTATTCATTTGTTACATTTATATAGCGCTTTTCTGGGTACTCAAAGCGCTTTACATGGAAGGGGGAATTCCCGCAACCAACACCAGTGTGCAGCATCCACCTGGATTATGTGACAGCAGCCATATTGCGCCAGAACGCCCACCACACACCGGCTTAACTAATATTTTATTCAATAGTACAATAAACGATTGTTTTCAACAATACAATCAGAGATATAAAAAAATATAATCTCAAGTAAGTGTATTTTTCCTTACCTCTCAGGCAGAGTCAGGTAGGCGGTAGTATGTTTCCAATACATTCTTGTTCTCTCTCAACAATGCTCTAACATCACACGCAGACGGCAATGCAATCTTGCTAAGCCACGTCCTATCTGCACCTCTTCTGCTGCACCTCTGTCATTTTCTGTGGGTCTCTGGAATTGTCAATCAGCTGTCAACAAACTTCATTCTGGCCATTGCTTCTCTGTCTACTCTTAGTATCTTGGGCTTGACTGAGACCTGGATTCGTCCAGAAGACACCGCAATCCCTGCTGTTCTCTCGATCAACTCTCTATATCATTAAACTCCATATTGTAATGATTTATCGCCTTCCTGGTCAACTGGGCACCTTTATAGAGGAGCTGTATGGGCTGCTGTCCTCATTCTCTGTGGATGGCAGTCCACTTGTAGTCTTTGGTGACTTCGAAATCCATCTGGACAAGCCTTACACTGCAGACTTCCACTTCCACTCCTAGCTTCATCCAAATGGCTTACCATCACAAGCACTAACAAATCAGGCAACCAGCTTGACTTAATTTACACATGCAATTGTATCACAGACAACATTTGGTAAAACCTCTAGATATCTCTGATCATTTCTTTATTACATTTAACCTACATATTACTACCTGTATTCCTCTACCAGTTACTTTTAGGCAAAACCTACGCTCCCTTTCACCCTTCCATCTTGCCTCTGTAGTGTCCTCCTCTCTTCGCTCAGCCACCCATTTCTCATCTCTGGATATAAATACAGCAACTGACACTTTATGATCCACTTTAACTTCTTGTCAAGACAATATCTGTCTAGACAGGCCAGTGCATACTACCCCTTCTAACCTAAAAAGTTGCACCATGTATCATCATCTTTACTGTATGTTTGCTGAGCAGTCTTTTGGGTGGCTCACCAATGTACTAGATTTCTCTAATACAAAAAATGAAGTAGGCTTGACCACAATTTTTGTGGGGAGAAGAATTTATTGAAGATGGTAATGTAGCAGTTCTTCAAAAGTGATGTTAGCATGCCATCCTTCAAACAATCTTAACCCTTGTAAGACAATATCTGTCTAGACAGGCCAGTGCATACTACCCCTTCTAACCTAAAAAGTTGCACCATGTATCATCATCTTTACTGTATGTTTGCTGAGCAGTCTTTTGGGTGGCTCACCAATGTACTAGATTTCTCTAATACAAAAAATTAAGCAGGCTTGACCAAAATTTTGGTGGGGAGAAGAATTTATTGAAGATGGTAGTGTAGGAGTTCTTCAATAGCGATGTTAGCATGCCATCCTTCAAACAGTCTAAATCTTAGCTTCTCCCAAAGTTCTGTCTGTGGGATAGAATTTTATACCTAAAGACAAAAGGGCTAGATACAATACTGTTAGGATCTTCCCGCAGGAGATCCTGCAATCTACAAGACGTTCCTGAGGAATGCTGTTCCTTTGTTATTCTAATGGAATGGAACATGTGGTTCACACCTTTATAGACACAGTTACATTATTTCTTTCACAGAATGACCAACTGAACATTAACCAATCAGGTTTCAGCAGCGGCCATTCAACTGAGACTGCTTTACTATCAGTCAGTATAGCCCTGCAGATTGTGAAAGCTGATTACAAATCATCAGTTCTTATTCTGCTGGATCTATTTGCCACTTTTGACACTGTGAATCATCAGATTCTCCTGTTTACCATCACAGGATCTGCACTCCACTGGTTTGAATCTTATCTCACAAGTAGGTCTTTCAGGGTTTCCTGGGGAGGAGAGGTATCCAAAGAACACCAACTGGTCACAGGGTTTCCTCGGGGATCAGTTCTTGGATCCCTCCTCTTCACCATATACACTACATCACTGTGACCCATTATACAAGCACATGGTTTCTCCTACCATTGCTATGCTGATGACACACAGCTCTATCATTAATTTCAACCAGACAATCCAATCGCAGCTGCATGGATCTCAGGCTGCCTGGCAAACATCTCGGCATGGATAAAGGAACATCACCTGCAGCCCAACCTGGCAAAGACTGAGCTTCTCGTTTTCCCTGCCACTCCGACTCTACAGCATGATTTCATCATCCTGCTAGGTTAATCAATAATTATTCTTTGGTGACCAGCTGACCTTCAAGGACCATATTGTAAAGACAGCTCGATCATGCAGTTTTGCATTGCACAACATCAGGAGGATCAGGCCCTTCCAAACAGAGCATGCTGCACAACTTCTTGCCCAGGCCCT